TAATTATGCTCATTATGTGCAAGAAGGGCATTTAAGTCCACATATTTGATGTACGTCCTTGAGCATGTATAATACTATTCGTTCTAATTTTAGCAGCAATATAATTTCTCAATAACTCGCGTTAATTAGTTATTCAGAATAAATACCCTAAATTTGTTATGCTGTTTTTATTGTAATTAACAATTAGAAAAATTTTTTCGTAGATTTTGCATATCAAATTTCTAAACAAATATAAAAGTTTCAATTGCAAATGAGATTTTAAAAAAATCAACATTTGTCGAGTAAAAATATTCAAACAAAAAAATTATAGCGCACTCACAAAAAACAAGTGCAGCAATGTCTTCAGAGATATGACGAAATTAAGGCGGCCATAAATGTAAAGATATCAAAAACAATATTTTATTTGCGACTTCTATAGCCAGTGACGGCGCTAGACCATTCGTGGGCGTCGGCGAAATTCGTTTCGAGGCCCCCCTTTTTTCCCAGTTAATGTTGACTAGTGGTGCACGGCATCGTGTCTCAAGGCAAATTGCTGAAACTTCCCAGGCCGTAACTTAAATTACACAAGTTAAAATAAACAAAATCTTCGGCAAAAAAGTTCGCTCTCCACATATTAGAAAAAACACGAAAATTAAATAATTATCCCGAAAAAGTTACTTTTTGCCAAATTATTTGATTAGCTAATTTTATAATTTTTCGACCGTTCAAGTCTTTCTGAATGAAAATGATTGGAAACCACCGATCTTCATCAATAACTCATTTATTAATTAGAATAAAAATTCAATAATCATAATAATTTGAGTGCACAAATCCGCACGTAAAACGTACACATGGCATGACCTCGGCTCATTATTCTAAAATCTAATAAATTTTTATAATTAACTAGCTGACCCGGAAAACGTTGTTTTAAATAAGGTATATTCTAAACCATTTCTAGAGAATTAAAAATATTAATACTTTAAGTGCATAAGGATGTGTTGTTTGAATGCTGTATACAATTAGGTATTATAAAAACAATAAACCCCATTAGTTTGTCTATATTTTGTCAATACAATTAAACTGCAAGTTTTATAGACTTTCTATAGAAAACATCGTATAATCCAATCCGAGTCTTTTTTGGTCTTTCGGCTTATTAATTACGTTTCAAGTTTTTCAGATTCTTTTTGGATTCTGGATTTTGTGTATAATTGTAAATAATACTACTGAGCTTATACAAAATTTTCAAATTTTTGCGAGGAGAGATAAAAAATGAATTAAGTATTTCTTCTTTGACCTGCTTTTTGAAAAGTTTCAAGTTACATTCGATGAATTAAAGTAAATTTAATAAAAAGTATATATGTAGAGCAGGGCCAGACACAAAGGTCCAATTTGACTTCGAGCAAATATAAACTATATTGTGAAAACCATAACAATTATATCACAACAAATAAGACATATCAAACGAACAATTATCTGACTACGTTCAGTAAACTGACTTTTACTTCATCATTGTAGAAATGTGCTTTTTTGATGTCTTCCAAAAATTTGTTATCTAGACCTTTTTATCCTATATGCGGGGTAACTTGTAACGGGCAGGTGGCAAAAGGTTTAAAGCCTTATTATAATTTTAAAGGTATTTTACAAAATAATTACATTTTTAACTAACGCTAAAACTACCAACGAAAGAAAATACTTTTATTATGGATTTTCAAAGATTACCGTTTATCTCCCCCATTTCAAAGATTATCGTTTTCAAATCAAGTTTGTAGCTGGCTTTACATCTTTTTTCCTCTACTTTCAAATATTGTTGTTAAACAATGCTTAACTTTACTGATTTTTGGCACATCGGTGGTGGACCTTTTTAATCCCGGACCTTCATATATTAATATCTATTCTGCGATAAATTCTGAAAATTATAATTGGAAAAATGTTATTCGACAAAATGTCCATTTGATCGATACCAAATTTAGGTTCTGAATTTAAATAAGATAAATAAAAAATAATATAACCTAGAAAATGTTTTATAAATACCAATAAGAATATAATTATACAAATGAGATATTTCAAAGCACCGTGTTTGAGAAAAATATGCCAAAAAGTGCATTTTCATATTAACATATCAAAAAAGTTTATATTTTGAGTCTCTAGTAACACTTGCGGCCCGTTTACTAACGTTTTTGTACAAAACTACTTGCTACAAATTTATCATAAATAAATAATATTCGCGTAAAACATCCTATTAAACGTAATTGAACATCATCTGTCAAAAGCGTTTGACATTTCACGAAATTGCCACCGTCCATTGTTTTATTTAAATTACGCTTCTACAAAAATTTTCAAATTAAAAATGTAAAGTTTCTACGCGGATTTGAAATAATTTCTCACCTTTTGGACTTTCTCTGGATTGGCACAAATTTTTCAAGACTAAGACTGGCCAAATCGATTCAGCCGTTTTCGAGTTTTCTTCGGACATTTGAAAGAGAGCTCCATTTTTATATATAAGATTACTTATTGCAGTTCCATAAAATTTATGTTAGTTTAGAGTTTAGACTGTAGTTTTTATCTCTATACAGAGATTTTTTAATTCTACATTTAATTACGAAGAAACTATCGTTACTAAAACCTAATTAGCATTATTGCCAACTGAAAACTTTCGAACAGTTTTTGAATTTTCAAAATCGGTTCAGAAATGTGGAAATGGCGGATTTTTTAAAAATCTAATTTTTTGTCGACGATAGCAGTGCGGATCAACCGATTTAAATAATTCAAAAAACATTCGATTAGTGTTGATAAATTGGCAAAGGCAGGTACAGCGGTTTCGGAAATGCAAAAAAGTTTAAAAGGTTATCAATTTGGTGATGCAGTTTTTCAAAGAACTCTTTCAAACTTCATGCGGAAAATATATCGCTTGTGTTGACAGTGTGAAACAATGACTAGTTTCAAATTAACAGTATTTATATTTCGCATATTTTTTTCAAAATATTCAAAACAATTGTTATTTCTCAGTGATGAATTTTTATTGAGTGTTGATTAATTTTATTCCTCGAATATATATTTAGCTACTGTTTGTGTTTGGATACGTTAAGATAACTATTCATTTGTATACCCAAATTGAATAATGATTTACATTATGCTCGCATAAGAAACACACAAATATAAACAACCAGAGAATTAACCGTCTCGTGCGAAGTTGTTTAGTGTCCATAAGAGATAAGAGAGTAAAATGACAGAGCCCGTAAACCACTAATCACATTCTTTCCTCGCACATCAGTATAAAAAAAAACTAAATAAAAACGAAAAACTAAAGTTTAAATAATCAAAATCTTTCCGGGGCCTCTTGCGAGGCCCCTTGATGTGCAAAACCGTCGGCGGTCGTCGACACCGCCGACGCCTAACGCCGCTACTGTATGTAGCTTATCCTGCGGTATTTTAATAATTCTTGAAGTATATGATTTTTGGATTATGTGAAGGACTTTCCTTTAAGAAAATTCAATTGAATTCATTTCATGTTTGTAGTAATTGGAACTATTTAGAACCTGCCAGGTTTTTATACAAAGATTTATAGTGTCAAAGCGTCACACTTATAAGCACGATTTAGATGGGCCAATTCTGCCGTCAATGTTGTGGCAAGTGTACGTTACCTTCCAGTTTTCATACAAAATCAGGCGTTTTACATAAACTGCAATAAATTATATGTTATCAAGCCATATCGCAAAGGTTCAGTTATAATAACATTATTTTTCGGACATTTGTGCGTTTTCTAGGTTAGGTTTTCTATCTAAAACGCCTAACTGCACAGCAACCACGTGGCTTTTGACGGTATTTAGTACGATTTTGTATGAAAACTTCTACGTAGCATAGCCTTACCATAACATTGGTCTATTTCACGGCAGAATAGGCCTCATAGGCTCAAAGCATCAGCTATTACTTTATAATTTGCTTTCGTTTACTAATTTGTGAAAAGATACTCTATAAATAAGTATGTTGAATAGAAAAATTCGTAAATCCATTTTTTCAACAAAAAAAATTCAAATTAAACATATAAAGTTTCTGTGCAATTTTGAAATAATATCTCACTTTTCAGGCCTACTGATTAGCACGAATTTTTGAAGACTAAGGCTGGCCAAATTGGTTTAGGCGTTTTCGAGTTTTAGCGGATCATTTTATCGAGCTCCATTTTTGTATATAAAAAGATATATATATATATATATATATATATATATATATATATATATATATATATATATATTTCGACAACTTGTTAAGTTATCATGATTATTAGTGTGTTTTACCATTTGTGATGTTTGTGTTAAAATATATATATCTTATCAACGTGCACATACTCATACCATGGATTAATAATGGTTTCATATGCTTTATTAGGATACAAAATTGTAAGTGTTTTATTACTATTATTATTATTATTGTTTTTCCATGAAATTTCCTTTCATATAATTTATTTAGTTTCAATTTTTATAGTTAACTTGATTACCACTGAATGATGGCTAAGATGCTAGCCGAAACGTATGGATTTTAAATAAATAAATTTTTAAAAAAAACTCATACTATTTTTATTGATGTTACGCCCGAATATTAAACTCAAATTAAACATATATATATATATATATATATATATATATATATATGATGTACATATATGTATATTGTATTTATTAGTTAACCGATAATTCAGTAAGTTATTTAAGATGTCCATAAAATGAATTATTTCGTAGCTACGTAATTTCCATGTTTGAATTCAAATATTATTTAACACAACGTTAATATATGTCAACCGTCGAAAGTGTAATAAATAAAAGAATAAGCTGTACATACCAGATCGCACATGTTGAATGCATATCTTGAAGAAAGAATCAGATATTACATATCACCAAAGAACATTATGTGCATCAAAACATTGACCGAAACGAAAACAGTGAATGATAAGTAAAACGAGTCTAATGCAAAGGATTGAAGCGAAAAGCAATAAATAAAATAATATTTCGATTAGAATTAAGACTCACCCGACTATGTCGCATAGTTTCTCTTTGATTTCTGGCGCCAAACTGTTATCACGAGACGGGTCAACGATCAGCGTACAATTCAGTGCCCGCAGCAGCTCCACGCACAAAACCATGTCTTCATCTTCGGCTTCGGAAATTGAAGAAAATCGCTGGCGACAAAAATATAATGAGAATAAACAGAGTAAATACATTATATCATTCGATATTTGTATTAATGCTGACTATAACAAAAACCGATTTTAATTATTTGACGTAAATGTCAGTACAAATTATCGATTAAATTTCAAAAAATGGCATCCTAGTAACTCATCTATTCGAAAAAAAGTTAAAAAGTGTTGACAAATAAAAAAACACAGTTTCATAATAGAAATTTGGGTGTATGATACACTTATACATATAATTCATCGCATGTACTTAAGTGCTTAAAGCTCCTTAATAATGTTTGTTAATATAAAAATTCAAGCAAAGTTTTTTTTATTTAGAAGAAAACTATTGAAACCTTCACTAACAGTCTCATCAATGTCCCAACAAAAACATCAATGAAATCAACTAAAATATTAACACTTGAATAGCAGAATGGTTGTTTTTTTGCAAATAATGTTGCATGTTAATGCTCAATATGAGTCTCTAGTCATGCAACTGAAGTATACTTAGTATAATAGTGAGTATTTTGCAATAAGTATTATAATTTGTAGTAATCGTAATCGTGAGAAATAAAATCTAAATTCACCCCTATTATTTATTTATTGTTAAAAACTAATGTGCCTAACATTAGAGAAAAATGTTTGAAAATTTTGAAATTTAATATTAATTTCTCAGGAGTATCAACAAATTTCTTTTTTTTAATTTCATTTATAGCAACCGTAGCAAAGTTTTGAAACACAAACATATATAACAAAATTATATATAATTATATCAGCATAACAAAAGATTTGATGTCATACATATGTCAGGCAAAAAGATGGAGCGTAAGAAAAGAAAATGCAGGAGAAAGACGACAATGGACAGAAAGATAACACATTGAGAAACTATCCGATAGGAGAAATTCAATCGATGAGCAGAAGACTAAGCACAATGCTAAAAAGGAGTTTTCTGCTCTGGGATTTTGATGATACTCCAATTCAAATCTTCAATTCATGTATTGAGATGAAATTTGTCAGGGATAAGAATGTAGTATTGAATACTGCAAGCATTATTGATGAATAGAAATCGTTTGATTCTTTACCCAGCAAACATAGTGCATTATAATCCACATTCCCGTATTCTATAAGATATGCTGAAAGATGTAAAAATTGTTTAATTACTGTATGGGGTGCAACAGAAAAATGACTTTTAGTAAGAGCTTTATACTTCGACTATTATATGCAATACTTCTTTATCTATGATATTATATCTTATATTTTTCGATCTATATGTTCTATTCAATTGTCTTCATAATTAATTTGAAAAAATTAGCATCTGTAAGCTTGTTTTCTCAATTTTTGTTAATTTTACTATTAATTTTCGAAAAACTGGGACATCCGGAACAAAAAATCAAAAGCCGGGACAAATATTGCTTTAAGAAAAACCCGGGACACAAGGTGGAAATCCGGGACTGTCCCGGCCAATTCGGCACGTATGGTCACCTTACTTATATATATATATATATATATATATATATATATATATATATATATATATATATATATATATATAAATATATATATATATATATATATATATATATATGTATATATTCAAACATTTCACTGCATTACAGTTAAGTATAAATAGATTAAACCTACTTATCTATATAATTCAATATAAATTGTTTCATTTGTTATAATAAATAACTATTACATAGTTGTTTTATAAAACTTAAACATTAATACTAAAAATTCAGTATTCCTCGCTTATTATATCAATATTGTATAATTTCAGAGTTTCTCACGACTGTATCAGAGCTATTTTTTCAATGATCGTAATATTCAGAGATTCAATAATTCCGAGTGCGCGCTCTTATGGCCTTTAAGATGCGCGGTACAAATTACCAGTCACACAGTGATAAGAGTAAATTAATGTTGACGATTAAAAAATAATTGTGGGAATTGTTCATTATAATAAAGTTTAAGCCAATACCCAAAATCATATTGTGATTCACTGATATCTAATTATGTTATGTTATTTTATATGTAACAGGTTTTGTATTTTAAATATTTTAAAATGTTCAGAACACATGAGAATTAGAAATTCGATTTTTGTAAAGAATAAGTAATGATATACATATATGCATTATTATATAAAATATATCTCATCTATAATTACAATTGGAAATAATATATTCAGAAAACAGCAATTTCTTATGAATATTGCTGGTCCGAGAAGTAATCGCTAAAAGGAGGGGCGCTTCATCAAAACAACGAAAATTAATGAATTATATGAATTGAACAAATAGAGCACAGTTTACATCCCAACAGCATTTTCTACATCTCTAAATAAAAACAAAATTGATTAATTAAAATAATTTTAAACAACTATTTAATTAATGTGATAATTACATTAGAAACTTAATGGTAATTAAAATTATAAAATCTTTTTTTTGTATTAAAACTAGAAAATAATATATATATATATATATATATATATATATATATATATATGTGTTATATATATGTATATATATACCGTATTAAGGTTACCATTTTTTCAAATCAAAACCGGGACGGCATTAACAATTCAATGAAAAAAAAAGAATGTGTAATGCTTTTTTATCTATGATATTATATTATATCTTATATTTTTTTTATCTAAGTTTTTTTCGGTTTCGAGCCTAGCATAAAATTCTATTAAATTTTCGTAATTTTGATTAAATTACTTACTAATATTTAAAAAAACGGAACAATCCGGGGCAAAAGATCTAACCCCGGGGCAAATATTGCTTTTAGACCAATCCGGGACACAAGATGGAAATGTGGAATTGAACCGGCCAAACCGGGACGTATGGTCACCTCTATAGCACCCATACAAGATTCGTTAATATATTCTCGAAAACTAGTTTCCTTTTGTAGTATGATTTTCCAGTTTTAACACAAATAATAATTTTATAAAATAAAATTTGTAATAGTTTCATAAAAAAAATCATAACAAGGAAAATATTTGGCAAAATCCTTTTCAGGAAATGTTAGAGTGGTAATTATATACGTTGCTATCTTTCATATCATGTATCAAATAATAATTAAGATTAAAGATAAAAAATTTAAATAGTTAAGAAAATATTCAAACACCAGGTGTTATTATTAGATCTTGAAGAAGATGAAAAATGCCTAATGTAGAGTAAATGTAGAGTAATGCATAAAAAATGTAACAAACAAAATCTTTCAAATTAATAAAAACGAAAAAATAATAATGTCATATGTCACCATTTTCATTGAAATTTAAAACCTAGCAGTTTTACCGTAATTGCAAAGCAATATTTTATATAAAAAAAGAAAAAAACAAATATAAACGAATATATGAAACAGTACACGCCATATCTTAGCATGATCAATGCATGACCATCTTAGCAATGGTTTTCTATGTAGCAAATATAAGGATGTTATGAAATCCAAAAACAAGTTGTTCACTCGAGCACGCCCGCATTTTGTTAAATTTCGTTTCTTCACCAACAACGCAACGTAAGAAAAGCGCAGTGATAAAAGCGACTATCTAATGCAACGCAGAGCCGTTAACCCCACTACTGAGCCATCTCGGGGTTTACGGAAGGAGTTCCCCAGCCCACGGAAAATATCAAGGACCCCACTAACACAAGCCACCACGCCCAGTTGAAGCGGCGACACGCCTATATACGCGGTGCCACGAACATAAGTTCAACATAAGAATGTATGTTTGAATGTTTCTTTAAAATAGAGTTGTACGCTTATAATGTCATAAAACTTAGAGAGAATATGTATTTATTATAAAATAAGACTAAAAGTATCATGATCGATATTCAGCACAAATTAATATTTTGAAAAAGTTAAGAGTATACAAATATAAAAATGAATTTTTATCGTATTTTTTAACTTACCGTAGTAACTTATACAAAAATCGAATTATCCAAAAATCGAAAATAAAAATGTTTGCATATCTTTAAGTTTCAAATGTTTGAAAACCTTTTGGCATACCTTACAATTAGATAAAATGAATGTGTATATACTATTTTTCAAATCTGCGTTTTCTAGATATACGGATTAACCGATTTGAACGATTTAAATAACATTCGATTCGCACTGACAGGAAGACTTGATTCGTTTTCAGCAAAGACAGGTCGAGCCGTTTCAGAGATATAGAGCAAAAAGTGCACGAATTCAGTTTTCGAGAAACCCGATTAGATCGATTAAAAAAACATTCGATTCTTGTTGATTGGCTTGGCAAATACAGGTTCAGAGACACAGAGCAAATAGTGCTGAAAATGAATTTTTGGGAAAACAGAGAATCCGATCAGAATGATTCAAAAAGATTTGGTTCGTATTCACGAGGGGACGCGCTGATAAGATGCAAAAAAGTGCAAAAAAATAGCAGTTTTTGAGAATCTAAAAATATTTTGCTCGTGTTGACAGTGTTAAGAAATGATTAGTTTTTAGAAAGGAGATTTTTTTTTAATTATAAAATTTCATTTTTTTTAATTTAAAAAAAAGTTAATTTTTCGAAAATCGAAAATGATTCGAATTTTAATTTCATTTCTAGCTATGGGCCAGCGGTGGCGATATCGGTTAGAGCGTGGGCTAGCAGCAACCACATCAGGCAGCTTTGATGTCAAATTTCCACTTGGGGTTATAGATCACAATATAATTCGAAGTGGATATCGTCCTTCGTGGACATAGCTGCAACATCCAATCATATGCTAACTATTAGACATAAGAGCTAATATCAAAAATACCCCACACATAAGAGAATGGTAAATCGATGCATTGCCTCTCATGAAATACATAAGTAGTCATAAGTCCTTAACAAACAGCAGTATGTTTTTAATAGCTCTTTTCATACTTATATAAGCTAATTGAAACAATTATATATATATGCAAACAATATTATATTATGATAGTATAATGATATTCCCAGAATAGGTGTATACAATTTGTATCTTTATGTAAAAATCAATGTATGTATTTAAGACAAATAAAGCAAATTTTCAAATTAAAATTAACAAACAGCTTATAGAACATATAAGTGAGAGTTCTGATTGCTGTTCAAACAATAAAAAAAATCTAGCTATAATTATAAAGTTCGCTTATAGACTTATAGACTTATTGAAATAAATAATTTTAACTATTAATTTTAACTAATCTTATATATGAAAATGGAGCTCTCGATCAAATGATTCGGTAAAACTCGAAAATGGCTTAACCGATTTGGCCAGTCTTAGTCTTGAAAAATTCGTGCCAATCCAGAGATGGTCGGAAAGGTGAGATATTATTTCAAAATCGCGTAGAAACTTCACATTTTTAATTTGAAAATTTTTGTAGAAGCGTCATTTAAATAAAATAATGGACGGTGGCTAATACGTGAAATGTCAAACGTTTTTGACAGATGATGTTCAATTACGTTTAATAGGATATTTTACTTGAATATTATTTTATTATGATTAATTTGTAGTAAGTAGTTTTGTTTGTAGTTTTATTTATATACAAAAACGTTAGTAAACGGGCCGCAAGTGTTACTAGAGACTCAAAATATAAACTTTTTTGATATGTTAATATGAAAATGCACTTTTTGACATATTTTTCTCAAACATGGTGCTCTGAAAGATCTCATTTGTATAATTATATACTCATTGGTATTCATAAAACATTTTCTAGGTCATATTATTTTTTATTTATGTTATTTAAATTCAGAACCTAAAATTGGTATCGATCAAATGGACATTTTGTCAAATAACATTTTTCCAGTTATAATTTCCCAGAATTTATCGCAGAATAGATAGTAATATATGAAGGTCCAGGATTAAAAGGTCCACCGCCGATGTTTCAAAAATCAGTAAAGTTAAGCATTGTTTAACAACAATATTTGAAAGTAGAGAAAAAAAAGATGTATAACCAGCTATAACCTTGATTTGAAAACGGTAATCTTTGAAATGGGGGAGATAAACGGTAATCTTTAAAAATCCATAATAAAAGTATTTTCTTCCGTTGGTAGTTTTTTAGCATTAGTTAAAAATGTAATTATTTTGTAAATTATCTTTAAAACTATAATAAGGCTTTAAACCTTTTTGCCACCTGCCCGTTTCAAGTTACCCCGCCTATAGGGTAAAAAGGTCTAGATAACAAACTTTTGGAAGACATCAAAAAAGCACTACTTCTACTTCATCAATGTAGAAAATTGATGAAGTAGAAGGCAGTTTACTGAACTCAGATAATTGTTCGTTTGATATCTGTTATTTGTTGTGATATAATTGTTATGGTTTTCACAATATAGTTTATATTTGCTCAAAGTCAAATTGGACCATTGTGCCTCGCCCTGCTCTACATATATACTTTTTATTAAATTTACTTTAATTCAACGAATGTTACTTGAAACTTTTCAAAAAGCAGGTCAAAAAAGAAATAATTTATTTTCTATCTGAAGAATCTGAAAAACTCGAAACGTAATCAATAAGTCGAAAGACCAAAAAAAACTTGGATTGGATTATACCATGTTTTCTATAGAAAGTGTATAAAACTTCCAGTTTGATTGTGTTAACAAAATATAGACAAACTAATGGGATTTATTGTTTTTATAATACCTCATTGTATATAGCATTGAAACAACATATCCTTATACACTTAAAGTATTAATATTTTTGATTCTCTAGAAATTGTTTAGAATATACCTTACTTAGCAAAACAACATTTGCCGGGTCAGCTAGTAATTTTATATAATTCTTAAAAATATGAGATACAAAATTAAGTTTCTGATTTAAAATTCTAATAAAGATTACTCAAAAACGGTCTATAATATTATATTTTGAAATCTATAAGATAAGTTTTGATCATTGGAAATAATTAAGAAGATTTGCAGGATCTGTCGCCATTTTGGTGAAAAATGCTAAACGATTTTTCAGAAATTAATTTGATTCGTATTTTTAATAAAAGCATAAATGGCGTAAAAAGTGGTAAAATCGGTCAATATTGGGTTAAAACAATTTTTAGTTTTAGAAAAGAAGTTATTATTGAAATTTGTCAAAAATCTAAATTAAAATAAATCTGAAAAATTTAAATGTTCAGAAAAAAATCAATTTTAATTTTGTTAAGAATTACTACCGGAACGAAAAGTTTCGGCAATAGATCAATGCCAGAAACCATTACATGAAATTATTTATTTATTGAGTATTTTATATCATTTCAATTTCAAATATGTCGTGCTTTTAAAATAAAACGAAATTAAATTTATCCGTACATCACATCAGTTATTCGATTTTATATCAAGTGTTATAGAAAAATGCTTTCAAGTAAAAATCGACTAATTATAAACCCATAGATAAACAAGTATAAACCCATGGATAACCAAGTATAAACCTTAGAACATTAAGGTCTGAGTGTATTTATTGACATTTCGAAAAATAGATATGAATTAACAAAAGAATAGAATAAACATCTATCTGTATGAAGGAGATCGTGATTAAAATGTAGTAATATGAACGTTAAGTCAATTTGATAATTTTATAATAAAAAGAAGTTTATTAAAGTTTATCAAAGACAATAAGTCGTAATATGAATTATTACTAATACTGTATTAGTTAAAACTTACCCGTAGTGTGGTATTCAGAACATCTAGTAGTGATAGAATGCCATTGCTCATTATAGCATGTTTCTGATTTTCTTGATGATTCATGCAAGTATAATTAAATACTTGTGCAGCTATTGTTAGACTCCTGATAAAATATTAATTTATTTTAATAATACATGATCTAAATAATTTTTTTATAAGCATACAAAAAATAATCGGCGAATGACAAGAAAAAGAAAAGTCTCTATGAGCCGAATTGTTGTTTTACATTCAAAGGAATTAGGGGAACATAAAATAAGTTATTAGAAGCCTATATAAGCAAATGAAAAAGGAAAAATTATGTTTAAACAATTCTTTTGGTATTAATGAATTGTGAGTTTTAAGTCATAGCAGCCTATAATGTTCATACTTCTCTGTATGATAATGTTATTTCAGATTGAAAAACCTAGCAAAGTTCATAAATATTGATACTGCTTGCCTTGACAACGTTATAGAATTAAGATTTTAATATATTTGGTTAAATATGAAAAAAATTTGAATGGAACCTGAAAGTTTCTCGGTGTCATAAAGTGTTAACAGAGCTTTTGAATACATTTTTTTATAAATTTGTTTAATTATGAATTCACTCACTTGGTTGTGAATGTCTTATTTGGACCTCGGGAAATAATTTGTGACAGTATTGTCAAACCTCCAGATTTCAAAAACATGGTCCTATCAGCTGAATTTTGTTTCAAGTGCATTAAAAGTCCTTGTAAATGTTTATCCGGTCCTGCTCCGACAACATTGGCATGAACTTTTGTATTTGTAAGTTGTAAAGACTTAATGTAAGTCAAAATTTTATTATGATTTGTTGGCAGTGCATCATACGTTGGAATGTGCATTGTGTATTCTGAAGGACTGAAAATATAATAAATTTATTACAATCGTAGAAATAGCATTTATAAATAATAACATATTTTGTATTCTCACTTTTTCATCAATTTTTGACGTATCTTCTTTGATTTCTTCTTCATATTTTTGTTGTTTTCTTTTGCGGCACGCTCCAATTTAGATATTTCCTCTAAAATTATAAATAATATGGATATTTTTATAACTTATAATTATTTAAAATAAAACAGAAAACTAATTCATATATCTTCGTTATTACAAAATCCATACCTTCAGGAGCATCACAAATATGTTGCATATAATATTTTTGCATAACATCAGATGTTTGAGCCATATCAGATAATAGTGATGAGCTGTGTACATTTTCCATATGCAATCTTCCTTTTATATGACTTAGTAATAAATTTCTGACTTCAACTGAAAATTGAATATCATATTATATACTTAACTTACTACATACTAAATATATTATGGTAAATAGTATGTTTTGCATTATCGCCAGTTTGAACTGCAACATGTTTGAATAACTCAGAATATCAATAATAGAATTATATCAAAATTAAATTTAATATTTACCATGACTTTACAAATATTACACATTTTGATGTTTGCATAAGGTGTGATATCAGGAATTAATGGTTCATCCATAAAATCACGAGGATTCGATAATTCAACAGCTTTTTGTTTTATATGTTCAATTTGCTGATCATGTCTCCTAGATGTTTCCTATAATCATATTTATATATTATATATATAAAATAAATATATATATAAATATTATACATTACTTCTTGCTTTTGGTTAATTTTCCTCTTAAGTTCGAAAACTGTTGCTTCCTGTTGAGCTTGTAAAGCTGACAGCCTTTCTTCTCTATCCCGTGCCTTTAAGTAACAAAGCAATAATATATTTACCAAAAAATATATGCCATAGAAAAATCATAGTGTAAGCAACTGACAACACAAGTTCTTTGTGACCGGATTTAAATATGCAATTAATCAAAAAGATAAATACATTATTTTTTTATTGAAAGCTGGTACAATGTGCAATCAATTTTTTTTATTGAAACCTTTTCTCTAGCAATCCGTTGCCTGGCCTGATATTTTTGCTCTTGTCTCCTGCCCACTCTTTCTTCTCTTTCTTTTCGACTCTCTCTCATTTGTTCCAGTCTTTTTAATCTCTCTAATTCCAAAGCACACCTTCGTCTTTCAACTGCAGCTTCCTTAGCAGCTTTCTCTTCCTGAAATATATAAATTATTACTATGAAAATAACATCAATTCGCAAAAAATAATTCAAAATATATACCAATTTCTTCTGTCTATCCTGTTGTATTCCTTGCAATCTACCACTCTGCTCCTTGCATAACTCCAAAAATTCATGTTTCTTATTCTGTGCTTCTAAAGTTTTTATGAAAGCAATTTCTTTCAGTTTTGCTTCCTCATCATGAGCCTTTCTGACAATGCCCTGTAAAAAGAATTACACATTCATTCTTATCAAAACAATAAAAAATATTTGACTATCACAATAGATACAATTTAAAAATATGTAAGCATAAATTATAGATATGAAAATACATAATTTATACATATTTTAGTTATAAGTTATATATATTATAAGTTTACCTTCAAGTGCTGATCACGATTTTCTGCAGCTTTTTGTAATCTTTGTTCCATTCTAATTCTCTTTTCCTCAATCAATTGATGTCGAGCCGCCTGTTTACAAATGGTTACAGATGAAGAAATGTTTCATTTAAATCATTTAGTTATTTTAATCATTATTTCAGTGTTTTATACAAACTTGTTTGGAAACAAGTTCTACACAGTTATAAACTTATATTGCAAATTTTTATTTAATTACTAATTTGTATTCATTAATAAGCAAGTAATAATCCATAATTAAAAATATTATTTCATGCTTTCATCAAGCTTATTCAAAACATAACAAATAAGATTATTTCCTCATTTGTCGCTCAAATAAGACAGAAAGAAGTACATACATAATTAAAATGAATAATTAAGAAGAATAGCAATTTGATTCCATATCATCAAGCCTATTCAATTTCTATATTAATATTTCATTGACATTTATTTTGAAAATATTTATGATTGATCAAGAAAATAATAAAGTTTTAATATAATTGAACATAACAGTACAAAATGATAAAACAGCATAGATACATCGAAAATGTGTGAACCTATGTAATTATTGATATTGATAGTGATATTAAATTATTAATATGATTTGATCAATTGAAATCATTTATCATTATAAATACTAATAATAAGAAATATTGATACTGGTGAAATTATTAGCATTTCACTTAACTTTCAATAATATATTATAATTTTTTAATGTATTGAAATATATATTTTCCAATGCTTTAATTGGTTTCACTTGAATGATAAAAGAGGTATCGGAGGCAGATAATATAAATCATAAAAAAATGCACATTCTTGGCGTAGATATGAAATAATACTTCAAAAAATTAGTATTAAATGTGTCACCTTAACATCTTCTACTCTTGCTAATAGTTGTTGAATTCTCAAAGATCTTTCTTGTTGAAGTGCTTGCCGTTTCTGCTGCGCCCGCGCTTGTTTAGCTTGATATTTTCTGAGTGTCTCAGGTAAAGACCTCCTTCTCGAAGGACTTGAAAGCTTTTGGTGCAATTGCATAGCTCGACCAGGATGGCGAGCCACGAGAGCTTCCAATGTAGCAAGAGCATCAACTCTCTCACCCCATGACATTTCTGAACACAAAAGTAATAGAAAAATATCATAATTTTTAAAATCTAATATTTAACACTTTTTTATTTGCTTTTAAAAGTGGCAATAAAAAAATTAATTACATTTCAAATAGCGGGTGTTCTCAAATTATTGTAAGTAAAGTTTTAGTTCTTATACTAATCCAACTTGATTTTGATAATTAATACACTAACATCTAATTGTTAGGCATATATTTTAAAAGCATAATGCAAACACAAATTTTGTAGAATATATTCAGTTAAAGTGTTCTTCAACTAATTAATAGTAGTCAAAAAAAATATTCTAAATGAGTCTGATCATTAGATATAGAAAGACGAACTACAAAAAAGCAAACAAACAAATTATTAGCAATATTTATTAACAAATTATTAGCAATATTTATTAACAAATTATTAGCAATATTCATTAACAAACAAAGATAATATTCAGGTAAGTAAATTTGAAATCATTCTATTTGAAAATATTTTTGACTGATTTTGTTACAAAATGAAAATAAACTATACCTGACAATATAGGTTCATATCTCACTTCCAGAGACATTCCTGGTATTTCAAAAGGTTCAGTGCATTCACCTTCAGTAAGTGCCTCACAGTCAGTCTAAAAATATTTATTGCCATACATTTATTTATATAAATTATAGTAAGTTAGTAGTAATAAATATCACAACAATCTTACTTCAGTTTCATCTGTTTCTGTATCAATATCGATTTCACAGTACTGTAATTCTCTTATCTGCCTATGTAAACTTTCTTCTTCTTCAAATAGCATTCGCTGATCTTGGTCAGACAAAATATCTTCATTTACCTCAATATCAGTTAATGATATATCATTGTAATTCAGATTTCCTAAAAACCAAAATACCAATATGCATTAAGTACTATAGTGAAAAATTTCATTGTCGTATAAACTAAGTGCAAAAACACAAAAATAAAATTATTATAGTATGTGCGTGTGTGTAAAACAAATTAATATGTGAAAAATATTGAAATAAAAATATATATACCAGAAATAGTTTCAGCACCATAATCAAAGTTTCCTTTACTGTGCTCTGAACCAGAATTAATTTCGCTATTAATTGAATACTGAAAATTTTTCTCAGGTGAACTGGTTTGACTAGTATAACATGAACTAGTTGAAGATTCTCTAAAATGCAGTTGCATGTTCTTCTGATTTGTTGAAATCTTGCTAATAGGAGTTTGAGAATTTTTTACATTTCTGCATATTTGTGAACAACTTTGTGACTTTTCAATGTTGATTTTTGTAGGTATGCTAGTATTGTTGGAACTTTCTTTTACTTCACTGCATGTGGTATTTAAACTGGTGAGAGAACTAGTCTTTTTACCACTGTTTCTTTTAACTGGTGTTCTTCTAGTTTCTTCAGAGGTCTTCTGTTCCGTCTTAGATAATTTCTTCTCGATCAAACTCTGTGTAACTCTTTTTGGCGACTTGAGAGGTTGATCCATGATTACCTTATTCAATGATTTTGGGTTCCTTTTAACAGAGTCAGTGCTAACAATCTTCTTATTATTATGCTTATTTTGGCTTGATAAAAGAGACGAAAATTTTGGCACTTTCGATGCCTCTGGTTTCGAATCAATAATACTTGCTTTGGGGAATTTAGGCAACTGAGACAAATTTATATAATCAAAATTATGCTTTTCTAGCAATTCATGCTGTGATGATTCCTGTAATTGTTTACCCTTACGGGTTTTAACAACTTTTGCTGGTTCTCCATCACCTATTTCTGACATATTTTTATGATCATATTGATCACCTACTAAAGTTTCTGCGCTCATAGTTTTATCAGAACCTATGATTGTAATTGTTGAACTTCCTGACCAATTTTCATCTCTGTTTTTTAGCAACTGAATTTTTGGATTCCTTATGAGCATTTTGTTCTAAAGATGTATGTGAATTGTTTGTTTTTAAACCAGTTAGGTCAGATTTTTGTCTTATGAGTTTACTGTTAACTATTGGGTTAGCACTAAAATTTGCTTCCAAGCCTGAAACTGTGTCATAACACTCCCCATTATATTCATATTCTAAGTTAATTATTTTATTTTTATGGGTATCTAATGGCTTATCATTGGAATCAAATGTTAGTGTGGGAAGACTAGTGGAAGAAGAAGGCTGATAAAATCTCATTGTCAAGTAAGAACTAGGACGGCGCTTTCTATTTACTGTTAACCAACCATCTTCACATTTAGTTTGCATACTATTATTCAGACAATTAGATTTGTCCTGTACTTTTAAAATGTTAACAGAATCACTAATTTTATTTGCTTTCATGTTCACATCTTTAGTTTTTTTACACCAACTGCATATCTGTTAGAATTATGTTTTTGATGGTTCAATGATTTTGTATCATTTGGGTTCAAATGATTTTTACAATTTCCAATAACATCCTTAACTGGCATTACAGAATTTGATCTAGATTTAATACTAGCCGTCCTACTTAATTGTGTACTTGTTTTCTTATGAATGTCTGTCATAGTTTTACTTCGATTTTGCAAAGATTTATTTTCAAAAAACTGAAGATTTATTTGATGATATTGGTATTTTCTTCAAATCTGTTTTTGCACCATTTGCACAGTTTTTTAATGAATTATTCAATTGTGATTTTGACAAACTTTTATCTTGTATCCCGTGTGAAATATCTTTTGTATTTTCA